CGACTAACAATTAAAAGGAACTTAATCGTTGATCGCGATTAACAGTAATATTTCAATCGTCAATTGCGATTAACGGTTAGCAGTAATATTTCAATCGTTAATTGCGATTAATGCTCAAAACGACAAAACAATAGCAATTCAATTGTTAGTCGTTAATTAATTTCTTGCCCAACTTTGCCCAATAATCATATATTCGTAAATGGGAGAACGAGATCTATAAGTCTGAACAAAATCTGAACAAAACCGGTGACCCCTAGCATTCTTCTTGTTACCGTTTTTTAATCGTTTGTAAGAAAATAAAAATTGAAGAGTTATAATCGAATATTCGTGGGGAAGAATTTCCTAGATAACTAGTATTGGATAACAATTGGACAACTAGTTGTTCCACCGTTTTTCTTCGCGAATTTGCGGAGTTTTGGTGATTCGCAAGCCACGGATGCGCAGACGTAAACTGTTTTTTCAGGTGAACGCGAGGAAAAGAGTGGCATTGATCCGCCGATAACTTTCTTCGCGTGTTTACGCCTATTTTAGCTCCTCCGTTCAATTTCTCCATTCGCATTGCGTCACGCCGCGGTGTTTAATATAGGAGCCTCCGGGAAAACGCAGAAATCTCTGTGTACGTTATCTTACAAAAGTCTGCAGTCTGGTTGAATCGTTTCGGAAACAGAGCGGACAGGCCGTGCACTGTTCCGAGAGGAATTCATTTTAGCAATCGAAAATCCCTATACACACCGATAACACATTCTTCGTACAGATTATTATACGGTCGTCTAATAATAATTTTGCATAGGAATTTCGTATGTTTCCGCAGAAGTAAACGCTTCTCGCCCGTGGACAGCAATTACAAATACACAAAGAGGGAAGTATTTAGTAACACTGACTGGAGAAAGAGCTGTTCAAACACAGTCGAGACTAGAATTGAAATAGCGATGATATTATTTCATTGCTGCGAGACTTCTGGGTGTTTTCGGCAAGCGAGTTATCGATCACCGTGCTTCAATGTTGTATCTGATCTGATCGATGCATTCATAGATGTCCGATTAATCCGCCGAGTCGGATAAGATTGGAGGTATCGGTGTGTTTGCACGGTAAATTCTTCGATGGTGAACGCAGCGAACGAAAAAAGACTGACGGTGAAAAACAGTCGCCGATGGGGAAGAAGGTAGGAATGGCCAGGATATTGAAGGCGCCGGAGAAAATTATCAGAACTTCTGGAAAAGGGAACAATTAACTGTCTAGCGGAGAGGAAAAATGTATAGATCGATAAAGGGAAATATTAAAATTTTATGGTGAATGGAGTGAAGATAAAAATGGTCAAGTGATTGGCCAAGAAGAAGATAGCAAATTGAAGAGACAGAAGAAATGAGAATAGTTGAACGAGTAGATAAACGGAAGCAAAACTATCTGTTGGATGTGTGCCAAACGAAAGCGTAGACAGTAGAAAGTAACGTTTAGAAAGAAAAGCTAAAATGCTGAAATAAACATAAAGAGAGAAGAAAATAGCCAAATGAAAATGTAAACGGTGGAAAATAATGGTTGGAATTATAAGAAAAGATCACGATGCTACAAACAACATAAAGAAGAAAATGGCCGAGGAAAAAGAGAGCCACGAAAGTATAGGATAATTTCTAAAATAGAAAGAAGAGATAAGAATGCTAAACTGAGTGGACAAGAAGAGAAAATGGTCAAACAGACAGTAAAAATAACTTAAAAATGGACACAAAGAAGGACCGAATTGATCGATCGAGTAAAAAGAAAAATTGAGACTGGTTCAGTGAACGGCAGGAAAGGTAAAATTGCTCGAGTGGGCGTACGGGAAGAAAATGGTTAAATGGGCACTGAAAAAACATAAAAATGGTCACATCGTCGGCATGGAGAAAGAACAAACCGATCGCTGTAACGGCAAGCAAACTTAAAGGCGGGCCACTGAACGGCGGGAAAAGATGCAATTATTTAGCTGAACATTGAAAAATGAAAAAATGTCCAAATAGACCGTGGGAAAAGATCAAATGGGCGGATCGACATAAAGAAAAAACGAACCGATCAGTCTGGCAGAAAGAAAAAAAATTGCTCAAGTGGGCGCAGCAAAATCAGAAACAGTTCGCTTACCAGGGAAGAAAAATTGGAAAATGGTTCGCTGGACAGTGAGAAAAGGTAAAAACGATCGAATGGGCACACGGAGAAGGAAGAGAATCGCCGCGGAAGCGTTGAGAAAACCCGGGAGCGTTTAAGCGAGCGTGAAGGTGGAAAAACATGGAGGAAGAAACGGGCTCGGTCTACCGAGAAAAAGATCCGTGTAGAAATCACAGCGATCGATCCGCGCGATCAAGTGGAGAGAGCCTAGAGCCGTCTATTTTTGTCTGCTCATTAAATAAGTATGAATCTACGGTGACGCGGTGGAAACGATTTATCGACTGGTCTCGCCGGGGTAGCCGACTCGAACATGCGGCCCATTACCGATTCTGAATATCGAAACACGCCGTTCTATACGTCTGAAGACGCGAAACGGCCGCGAGGATCGAAGGACCAAATTATAGGCTTGGGCGAGCATAACGATCGCACGTACGCACAGTGATCGACAACTTAGTGACGGGGGACGCGAGCAAAATCGCGATTACGAGTCGCAATAAAATCATGAGGAACGACGCCTGCTTCGCGTCGCGATAATTGATAATTAATTTATTTATTTATTAATGCTTTAAACCGGATGCTGATAATTGTTTACTGTTTTACGTTCTAGATTCTATTAAATTCTTGCTGGACCATTCTTCTCACAGCTACAACGATTTAGAAACTCAAGTTTTATATCTATGTAGTAATCGTTATTAGTAATGATTTCTAATATTATATATAATATTTTATTGGAAATATTATTTACTAGCTTCACCTTGGCCGGAGGTGATCCAAGAAAATTCTTCGAATGTGAAGGATTAATCATTTTAACAAGTTCGAGACGACATGTATGATCATGATTATATACAATCTGCAACTTATGCAAATGATAATTGCAGATTTAATGTATTCATTATAAAATTGACTATGCGAAGTACCAAAGAATGAAGACAGAAGAATTGGAAAATGTTCTCTTACCTTCTCGTCAATTTATGGAAATGATTAATTATTAACAGAAATATATTTGTATCTAACTTCCGTTTCTTGCAATTTAATTCGAACACTTTCATATTGCATAAAGCACCGCAGTCTAATTACGACGCGTCGTAGCCTAATGTTACAACTCGATGATTTTCTGTCATTTCTAACGTGGAATCTGACGCTTTTATGCGAGATATCTTTCGCGAAGATGAGGTACAAGGTGTAGCAAAATTCTCCGAGACTCCGAAGACCTGCGTTCGTCCTAGAAATTGTTGCATCGGGTGTCCTGTATCGTCAGCGAACATGTGAAGCTCGAAGTGTGAACGATTTTTGGGAAAAATTGATTGGGTTCGCGAGAATTTCAACGGGATCGGCGCGCACGCGCATGAACGTACGGGTACGTTCGTTTGTGGTCATCCACTCCGGGCCAAAGATAGCGTCTGACATCATACACAGAAGCATCACTCGGCTCGAGCGAGCGATAAACATGCCCGCACGCGGAAGGTTTACGTTGCCTGTTAGAACTGTCTCAATTGACGTCTTCCAATGCACCCGGCCGATCCTGTACGGACAAACCATGCCAAATCCCTGCCGTCATTGCGAAATCTGCCCGCGATAGCGAACGCGGACTTCGATTAGCTCACTATCGTCTCGGAGCAATAGGTATTCGATCGAATTTCTCATTCGACGTTAACAATAACAATTTTTGGACGTTCTGTCGATGTCTCTATCATGATAGAAGTACAGTAAATTCTCCCTAATCGACGCTCAGATTATGCACAAAAAATAGACAATTTGGGATTATATATTATTCGAGTCTCACGTTCGTTTTTATAGTCGTTCACAATCGGCAACTATAAAAACGAGCCGCGAGGCTCGAATGAATCGTATTTCCTCTTCGAGGTATTAGGGAGAATTTACTGTATAGTCCTGTAAGAAGAGGATCCACTTTGTTAGCAATAATCGAAGACGCATTAGGCCCGCGTAACGAATTTCTGTAATCGAAAACGGCGAATTTAGTCATTAAAAGATCGGCGCGTAGCTTTTTACGATCTGGTTGCTAAGAAATCCCTGTCTCTGGAGGGTTAAAAGTAATCACCGAAAAACACGTCTGTGGTTGAACCAACGATCGAGAGGCCGTGGAACGGAACAGATAAAGATAAGACCGTCGAGTTGGAAACTGATTGGAGGTCGGAATGAAGTAATTATTTTCAGCTGGCTTTCGGGTTGTAACCTTCTCTGATATCGATAAAAATAACGTTACAAGCACATGCGAGATCGGGTGACTCGACTAACTAAAAATAAACTGTACCAAGCAAAAGTATACGTTGTTAAAAGACGTGATATTTGTATTTTAAAATTGACTGTGTAAGGTAGTGCAGCCGGTTACTGTGGGATGGCCAGTTGTCGTGCCTCTCGATTGTTTTCGGGCGTAGTTCACTTTATATTTATCAAATAACGCATGCTAAATTTTTTTATTCTTATATAAGAATCTTCTATATATTATATATTATTTATATTATATTATATTATTATATTATTATTATATATTATATTATATTATTATATTATTATTATATATTATATTATATAATAATATTATATATTATTATTTTTGAAGAAAAAAAATTAAAAATGAGTTATTCGATAAGTATAAAGTTAATTATGTCAGAAAACAAACCAAAGGTACAGCAATTTGTCATCCCACAGTAATCGGCTTCACTATCCCACTTTCTTAAAATTGCATACTCGATTCTACACAAAAGAACAGATAACTGAACAAATGAGTGGATTAGAGTCATAGTGGCGCAGTTACATTTTCCTCATTGTGAAGAAATTATTGTTTACTAACACGTGTAATGTTTACTGACCAAATCTTTTAAGGTAATGTGCTAACTTCAAAGTAATTTACGGTAAAATTATAGTTTATTTCGCTTGTCTTTTTAACATTTTCGCACGTATAGATTACATTTTAAGAGACGAGACAAAATATACGAAAATGTGACTTATTATGATTCTAATTCGATCAAATGAACGTGACCCTGGTTGACGCTTGAAACAACTCATTGAGTAGAATTTTATTAGAGTTTATCCAAATTTGATTAGGATCCATAAAATGTAAGTTCTCAGCGCGTTTCGATTTCGGTCAAATGAAAGTACAGTTCATCGAAAGATTCGTCGACCGTTTCCTAGCAAGCGATAAGAAGCCCATAAGAAACCGATTATCCATCATTTAGAACGAGCTATCCCTTCAGCCAAGGTGCTGTTTAAGCAGTGCTTCGAGACGATTTTCCACGGTCGTCCGTTCTTCGGCGCTACGAAACGAGTCACTCCGCCGCCAGCCGTTTTCGCGATTTTGCGCGTTCACGCAGCTCTTATTTTTTCCGTTCACATGGCGAACAATTTACAGAGGCTCAGAGATGCTCAAGGCTTATGGTAGCTCGTAACACTTGCTGCTATATTGATAACGCACGGTACACAGCCGCGCTTGCGTGCAAACACACGTCTTTGTCGTATCAAGCTGACGTCATCTGGGCTACAGATAAACAGCGTTATTCGTCGCGGCTGGAAAAAAGTAATCACGACGACGAATCGGCCCTGTTTCTTGTCGGGAACGTGCCCTCGGGATCGTTAAAGTCGCTTCTTCGGGTTTTATCGCGCTTGTACTTTTCTCAAACACAAAGAAATGTAATTCGTTTCTTTCGGACGTTGCTCCTGGAAAAATCGAATTTGAAGCTTGTCAAGTAAATGTCGTACATATTGTTCCAATATTAATTACATAATCGGTAATTATTTGATAAGGAATGTAAGAGAATTTATCGTACGAGGCTTTGTTTGAAAGATCGCGAGCACCGGCGAATAGGCGTGTCTGTTCATGACTTACCGATTCTACTCGCGCCTGATCTCATTCTTTAGATAATGATACGAGATAATTGTGGGTGTATATTTTTTATACATGGATATTGCGAAGCGTTAATTTCTCCAAATCAAAAGCGAAAACATTGCATTTTCGTTTTCGCCTTCCAGCTAATAATTCTCCAATGATTCATTTCTCGTTTGATCCGTCAAGAATATAACCTTAACGGTACAAAAATTAAACAAACTAGAATGAAAGCAGAGCTCTCGCATGCCAATACTTCACTACCCGTTTGCGAGTGACGCTCGCAAGAGTTGTCCCGTCGTTGGAAATTTCGTAACCGGAAAAAGAGCGAGTCGAATCCAATTAAGAAATTGCTGTCGCAAGTCTGTCTCGTGAGCCACGATATACCAAAAAACAGTTTCGCGAATCCCGCCGACAACAAACACCGCCTCGTTTATCAGCGATCGTAACTTTTGAAGGTAGCAGTACTCGCGCGAAACTAAATAATTGCACGTTACTTATCGGCCTCCGTCGGTCACCGATGACTAAGACGTCTCCGGCGAGCCTGTTAACGAGCTCGAATCGAAGTGCAAAACATCGTCGAGCGCCTAATTGTCCTTTGTGTCGCGTCCCGCAGCCTAAAAGGCCCCGCGGCCCGCGGAACGGCCTTCCGAAAATTCGATCCGCGCGAAGCTTTCGACACTTCCTGCCTCGAAATTCCGGCGAATCCGAGCGGTTGCAAGATGTTGCAGTAATCGCAGGAATTGCACGCGATTCCTCGTGGCCGGGCGACGATTGCCACATCGTGACACGTCGAATGGACGCGAGCTTTGCCAGGAATGAGATCCATGCGGACCGAAATCGACGCATTTCGATCGATATTATTCCCGTTCGCGCGGACTGGATGAAACTACTTTATGTAAATCTGTTCGCACGGTTGAATTCATCATTAATGCGATAAGTGCCGAGAATATTTCACTTATCCCTGCGATTACGCCACTTTTCCATATAATAGCAGTGAAATCTCCGGGGAAGATGAGAATGATCTTACATTGAAATTGCACTTAATGATGTATCGTTGATAGGCACACTCGCATCGGAATGTATGTTAACACCTTTTTAATGGCAATTGCTCTTTCCAGATTGGTCGAATTGACTTGAATTTTTTTGAGATTTCCAACTAGATTTATTATAAATCCTATGCATATTATATAATAGTTGTATAAAATAACTATTATATAATAATTATATAGAATAACTGTTATATAATAAATATATAAAATAACTATTATATAACAGTTATATAAAATAACTATTATACATATAATAGTTATAGTGGGCCATAAGATTATTCGCTCACCTTATAAAACGCAATAACTTTTTGAGAACTTCCATGTTTTTTAGATGACAGAGGCTGTTAGACGATGGCTAAAAAGCTTTTTTTTAATCAACCTCTTCGATCGATGCAGCAACCAGAAATTTCTTAATTGTTGCTTAACTCTTTCCACTCGAGAACATTTTAATTTCAGTATTCTAAGCGTTTCCTTCAACGTAGACGATTCTATTTTCGTTTTGCATGCAAATTTGAACGTTTACTCATGCCACGCTTGAAGATATTAGCAGTTCGGTAACACTAATTTTTTAATTCACGATTATTCAGATTGTGTAAAAATACATTTACGAGTTATTTGTTAAATATATCTATCAACAATCAATAATCAATAACACTCGCTAAAGATCAACATTAATGTCTCACTGTTACTTTTACAAACTAATATAAAACAGCTGATTTCAGTGTTACCTAAACCTAGTGTTAAATATACACAAATTTAGTTTGCAAAAATTGTTTGAAACTGCATTATGAAAAATTTGATTGGTGCCTCGGTATCGCCATTCGAGTACAAAGGAGATTGAAATTGTACACTGACGTCGCTAAAATTTTCGGCATATTAACGTCTGCTCTCTCGCTACTACAATCGCAAATATACAATTTGTTCAATATTTTCGGAACATTTTGATTCTCTGATATTAAATTATACGCTTAAAACTATTCGAGTGAATTTTTCTGGAATTGTTAGGAGCTGTCAGCTTGTCTACTTTGCAGTTCGAGAAAACACTGTATCACAGTACCACTGTACACTGCGTCCGAGTTAATCGCGATACTTCGAAATCGACGTAATCCGATCGATTTTTCCCGGTTTTTCTTGTCGATCATGGGAGACGGTTCTTTTCCGCGGAAAGCGAGAGTCATCGGCACGAGAGAGGCGGCGCGGAATGTTCCCGCGTGCTCGCTAGAAAGTGGTTTCCCGCGCCGACTCGCGGCTGATTACGAGCCGATCGCCGATCGCGCTGACTTACTTACCTAACTACACTCGGGACCGTCGGTATTTATATTTATACCGTCGATCAGACCGCCGCTATACCGTTTCCGCGGTAATTACGTATGCGAGGGGCGTCCTGCGTTTCGCCGCGACCAGCGTAGCGCCGGTCGCTCGATCGCTCGAGGATTTGCGAGGAAATCTGGCCGATAATCTATTCACGATCTCGAGATCAATGATCTTGAGATTGATAATATTCAGATTCGTTGGCTTAAAATTCATGGTCTTAATCGTTTCAATGTCGGCCGAAGATTTTGTAGGAAAGTGAGAGATACTGACAATGAACGAAGCTGATGTATTTGGACGTGTAACTTGAAATGTCGGATTATTCGAAAAGAGAGAGTAATTCATCTTTTTAAAACTACACTCGTCGCTCAATTTACGCGAAGTTTCCGTTCTGCGCGGATTTGTTTAACACGAATGAAAATCGCAGGAGTACCGAAGAAGAAATATTGGAAATAGAAGCTAGTATAAGTTTTGGGAATACATATCTATTTCATTTAGCTTAACGAAACAAAGTAATTATGACAAAACAAAAGTAAATAATATTCGTTGTCGTCATCGCTACTGGATTTTAAAATAATCGATCTTTTCTATTTAATCGGTACAAACTCAACATCTTCATTGCCGTGAAACATGTTGCAGAAACTTTGTAAACTGTAATAATTACACAATTTATAAAAGAAAATTAAGAAATACGAATTTTGTTTATTTAAAATATTAAGGAGAAATTATGAACGTATTATTTATTTATTTATTTATTTATTTATTTATTTTTATAATATTATGAACTTTTCGCAAGTGTAGCTAGCAACGATACATCGATTTCCGGCAGTGTGAGATTTAAGACTCACGATCTTAACACTTCCACGACCGCGCTATATAACCTCAAAAGTTCTCATAAAATTAAAATATTTCATTCATTTAATCAAAAATTACGAAACAAACTGATATGACATCAATCGCTTCTTCAGCATTCGTACCTCTTGCAAATCTTAATAAAATTAAGCAATTACTTTTAATTTTTTATTAATGATCCATTCGGTTATCAATCGACTGAATTTAAAACGGGGAGATCTCCTTATTCGGTTGGCTAAGTGTTAAGATTCATGATCTTGAGATTTGCTCAATTGATGATCTTGAGATTTGATCAAGATGAAATCATTAACGAACTTGGAAAATCCTAAAAATCGTGGAATCTTCTAAGCGGGATTGAGTCATCCATAATACTGACCTGTCATTATTTATGTCAGAGTGATGTCAGTACCCAGTTACGATGCTCGATATATTCCAGTTGATAAAGTTCATAATTTTAGCGCATGTTTTTCTGCCGCGGAAATACAATTTTTAAGTAATGAGATAGATAATTGAAATGGCGATTCTTCGACCAATATCTTAATCGTGTTATGCTATCGATAAATAGGTGTCAATTACGGTTTTTAAAGATAGTAGAGGTTTCGTTCATTTATAATGTTGTAATAACATCCGAAAGTAATGCAACATTCGAACAAAATTTTTGCAAGTACGCATTGCATTGTGTGCAAATTCTAAAAGAAATGTAGATAATTTAAACGTATGAATTTTTCTAAAAGATGAGATGCAATGTCTATCGAAATATTTTAAACGTTTCATACATATTAACAATTATTCACGATCATAAAGTAAACAATTTTTCGAATGAAATATTATGTTTTACCATACTATCGAACTTGATTATCTTGACACTTCAGTAAAAACGTGATGGATTAAAGAGTTAAGTAACACAAGCACTGTTGCTTATGATTGTATCTCCATTTAGCATAAAATTTACATACATTTTTTTTATTGAAAACGATCATTTTTCACCTTGCTGGCACGTCATCAATCATTGAAACTCTTCAATCATATTTTTCACGATTCATGTGCCATTGGAAAGGTCAGTGTACACCTATTTGGTTGTGCACTTACACCAACTTATAAATAAACGATCAGTTTCCGATATAGCTGAACAAACATTCGAATTGAAAATAAAGTTACGATTGATTAAATGAATGACTCACGAACTAATTTTTGCACCCAGCAAGATTTGAAAACAACGTATTATCACGTTACATTACTACAGTATCGATAAAAGACACACAAAATCGAAATAACTTCTTGTTTTATAATATAATTTTATAATATAATATAATTTATTGCAACAATTACTGTTATAACGAAACTACCGATTCCGTACATTTATAACAAAAACGAGTAGATGAAACACAATACAATGACGCCAAAAATTTCGTAATTTCATTATATTATTTAGAACTTGCTAAAATTATTCAAAATGGGAACAAATGTTCATGCACTTTCTGTTTCTTGCAGATCATGTACAGCATTTTTATTCTGCATAAAGATCCGCAGTCTATCAACGAATTTCGATTTACTTAACAAGATATCGTAATAAAAATTATTCTTAAAGATTGATAAGAAAACTCTGCGAAGGGTAATGATGCTGATTGCGACCAATCATCATCAATTGCGACCAATTGCTATACCTTTGGTACATTTTCGGGCCTAATTAACTTTATATTTATCGAATAAAGCATATTAAATTTTTTTATTAAAAAACAAACAAAATGAAAGAATAAAAAATTGAATGTATCTTGTTCGATAAATGTATTACTTTAATTAACTTTATATCTATCGAATAAAGCATATTACACTTTTTAATTGAAAAACAAACAAAATGAAAGAATACAAAATTGAATGTATCTTGTTCGATAAATGTATTACTTTAATTAACTTTATATCTATCGAATAAAGCATATTACACTTTTTAATTGAAAAACAAACAAAATGAAAGAATACAAAATTGAATGTATCTTGTTCGATAAATGTATTACTTTAATTAACTTTATATCTATCGAATAAAGCATATTAATTTTCTAATTAAAAAACAAACAGAATGAAAGAATACAAAATTGAATATATCTTGTTCGATAAATATATTACCTTAATTAACTTTATATTTATCGAATAAGACATATTATATTTTTTTTGTACTTTTATTTTGTCCAATTTTGAATAAGATAACAGAATAAAAAAGTGAATATATATATACACACACGTCTTATTTTATAAATATAAAGTTGATTGAAGCACATGTTCTCCCTGAAACGTTATACACAGACTTTTTCTAGTACGTGTACCCGAGAGTGTGACGCAGTATTATAATATTTTAGTTATGAAATCATCGGTCTACGTGAACAACGGAAAGTGACGGAATCTGTAATCGTAGTAGCCTTGACACGATCAGACCGTCTGATCATGTTCCTCCGATCTGATGCTAGGGTGTGTAAATACACAAAGGATGTAAATAATTCCAGTGTTTCGTGGCTGACACGGATCTAGAGATCTCGTGACATCGATAAGACGGAATCGATTCGAAATACCATCGCCGGTACTCCAGACAATTTAAAAAACGGGATAAAAGGGCACTCTCGGCTAAAGTAATCGTTCGATGATTCGCCGGCTTCCTCGAATAATACCGATAAACTGATTATCCGTCGGTTGCGACACCCAGTGTAATCTATGACTAGGCACCTGCGCGACGTTGTTGGATTGTCATGATTCACTGGTGCAATTTGGCACGACGTCACACGTCTCCGATCCAGCGGAGGTCATGTTTATTATGAGTCCATCGCGTGACGTTTCCCGTCTGTCGGCGATCGCCGCGTAATCGATATTGCAAATAAACAACGCTGAGTCATTCCACGCGAAAAAGCATGCAGGACATCTGCAATCAAATTTTTCCCGCAAGAGGCTCCGGCT